TATATATATATATATCTCCCACGTTCAAAGGCTGTTAAATCGCATTGTTTACCCATATCTTCAGAAAAAAATAACTTCTACTGTCATGGTAAACAACCTGCTTCCCTATTTATGATGGTCTGGCCCCCTAGCAACTTCAGCGCGAAATTACAGCTAATTTGCCTACAAATGTCAGGTGGTTATAATAATCTGGCCACTCAGTGTATATTCCAACAAGTACAATTAGTTTGTGTTTTCAAAGTATTGTTTTAGTTTTGCCCTCTACCACTGTTTATAAACGATATCCTGTGATTCTGCACTGAATTATCACAGTGTGTATTAGAGTTGTGATCCTGAGAGTTAGTTAGCTTCATGTGTTTGGTCATTGGCTGCCAGCTCAGTGTATTTAAGAGCATCCTTATGTTTCTCCTTCCCACCAACCAGAAACGTTTCCAGTGCTGTGCACAGGGAATGGCTCTTTACGGTAAATTACCACCATTCAGTCATCTTCTGGCAGGTTTTCTGCAAGAGTCAGCAAGCAAGCAGGACCTTCAAGGACTGCTCTCCAAACCAGAGGGTCTTGTACTTTGTATGGACAGGAAGTGCTCCCTGTGGCTCTAGGTTTTTACTTCAGGGCATTGAGATACATTATTGCTCATTTTTAAACCTTAGTTGAGAGCTCCAATGGAAATTTAATCAATGTGACAACTGTATTCATTATTTATTGAGAAAACATATGTTGAATAGCAACTATGTATGCAGACTACCCTGAGACTGCCATGCTGGAGAGGCCCTGCAGAGGCACTCTGGTCAACAGCCCTCTTGCAGCCACTTTTATTGTGGCATCAGCTATGTGAGTGAATCCATTTGGGATCTCTCATCTGCCAACTGAACACCACCTAATGACCTTGGTCAATCCCATGTGAAAGTGATGGTTGTAAAAATATTTTCTAAATTTGGACTCTTGCAAATGAAAGCTAACCAAATATAGGAGTGCCTCAGTAATTTCAGCATAAAGAACTTGCTATACTCAACATGAAAATGCTCAGATCAACAAACTAGATCGCACCTGGTTGTCATAGTTGACATGGAATAATTTTGTGTCTGAATCCAAGGCCAAAGATGATCGCTATGCTATCACTTAATATCATAAAAAAAGGAAGCAAATTTGTGGCAGATAGAAAATGCAAGGCACCTGTGGATACAGAACAGTGACCAAATACCTTTAATGGAGACCAGTATGTTTAGAAATCTTCACATTTAACAGGGAAATATTTACTTTTATGTATTTTAATTAATTAAAAATGAATGACCCAGATGAATATCAGAATAATACAGTCTTGTTTTAGAGTGTACATTTTTATGTCTGGAATAACATTCTCAGAACAAGAGACAAGAGCTAAAATACCATTTTTTCAGCCATCTTTTACATCTTTACAGTGGTGGTGCATAAATGTGGAATGTAACAATGATGGTTGACAACTGTTACCGTTCTGATTCCTCTGATTAGAGCCACACATATTTGCATTGATGCTTCACATGGGCAGCAGGAGAACACTGAAGGGTCTGTTTGTTGCATGCGTTGCTTCCTTTGTGCAAGGTGGTGAGAAATGATGGGCAGAAGGAATGTTTTCCCACGAATATTGTGGAAAGGAAAAAGAAGTAGAACTAGAAATGTGTGAAAAATGTGTGGGTGTGGTCAGCAAATAAAGGAGCAAATAAATAAAAATTAAAAAGTGATAATTTCAGATACTTTTACATCTATGAAAGAAATAAACAAGAAATAAACAAGAAGGGATGTTTGGGTGGGCCCTCAGAGGATGTGCATCTGGGTAGGTCAGAACTGGGACTCAGGAATTTATATTGCTGCTGTTCCTAATGAGGGGGCAACTTCCCCCTCTCCTAGGTACGTGCATGGACATCTAGTGTACTAATCCCTGTAGGTTAGGGTTCAGATTCCATGGCTACATTAGGAACACACATTCCACAAGTAACATTATTGTGCTGCTTGCTGACTCACTAATTTATCATTTTTTAAAAATAATGAATCCTGAAAGATCAAGTCAGGATAATGTGACAATTTAAGCATGTACAAAATAATAGTTAATATTTATAAGCATAATTAAATCCAGCAGTGGTATAAACACTCTATGTCAGGGGTGGGCAACCTCTGGCATGCATGCCAAACATGGCACGCCAGTAACTTTTACTGGCACGTGACACCCTCTCTTATAATCTTCCATTTACAATTGTGAATCTTTGTTCTCAGTGATGAATTTTGTTAAGTCTCGTAATAGAAGGAGCATGACGGATGAAAGTAGTAGCTCGTGCATATCTCTGAAGGTCACGAAATATAAACCTGATATAAAATCTCTGTCATCAGTGATGCAGCAGCAAAAGTCCCACTGATAATATCAAACGGAGTCATAAAGTTTTCTGTTGGACTATCAGTGTACATGTATACATTAATAAATAAATGTACTTTTCATCATCATATACTGTGTTTTTGTCGCTTGAATGAATTTTATTATTTCTTCAAGGTTCTTCACATACGTACACCTTAAGAGATATCAAGAAGGCGTAACATGTTCTCAAAAAATTAGGGTTGGTACGCAGAAGAATTTTGAGTCAGAGATTTTGCTGGTTTTGGCATGCACTCACACAATGGTTACCCACCCCTGCTCTATGTATTCATTAACTTGATTTTTACAATGGTTCTCAAAACTGGTGCTAACAATATTTTCATGTTAGTGATGACACCAGTTAGGCTAAGAGTTGGAAATAAATTCCCTCTTGTCACACAGCCAGGAAATGGAAGAGCTGGGATAACCAATCCCACAGTCAGACTACTTTCCATTACACTAGACTGTTTTCCTAGAACAGCCATTTTATGTCATCAAAACTTCGAAGTGTCAGGTGAGAAATTTTTTGTAGATGATGTGAATCTTTTGAGGATGGTACTCTACTATTTTTCAGGGCCACTGATAGTCCTTAACTTGACCTTGGGGAGTCAAAAGAAAAGAAAGATTTGCTTTTTCATAGAAATACTGCACTGAGGAAATATGTGTTATATCCAAGCAATATTCTGTGTAAATAGCTAATAATTCAGAAAAAAAGGAAAAATGTTAACAGTAATTTAGCAGCAAATGGGGCATTTGACCTGCAGCTCCCAGATGAATTCCCAAACGCCATGCATAATTTATTTTAGGAAGATGAAATGATAGGGGTTATGTAATGCTTGATGAGAAATTGCCGTCATAATATGGGAAATTGCTTCTACTTAGCAGGGTCACCAGCAGAGGAAGAGTGGTTCCAGGATATCATTTTCCACCTTGAGAATCTTGGCCGAAGCAGTTGCGTAAGTGCTTTCTGTCCAGCTGCACCAGCTAGTTAGCTGAAGTAAGCTTCTTTTCCAGAGACCTCAAAAGCCCTTTGATTATCTAGCACCCAAATGGCCTCTGTGCTATTTTCTGAGCAGTTGTGCTCCAATCACAGATCCTCATCTTCGAGCTGCAGTTACATTTCCTAGATTTGCACAGATGCAAGGCTCTCCCAGAACTAGGATAGCTGTCAAGTTGTAGGGCAGCTCAGTTGCTCCTTGGAATTTATGCCCTAAGGGACAAACACTCCATAGAACGTTTTGAAAGCTGACAGCTTGGTGTTGGCAGCTGAATTTTGACATGTCAGGCTATTATCAAAACTCTCAAACAGCTGAAACTGTAGGTATGTAACAGTTAAGCCTTCTGTGAGGCATGTTTATCTGGCAGGAAGAATGCTATCAATTGCCTTATTATTCTATTATCCTTTGCATTTCAGTTGCTTTTTGTTAATCAACTAAAACTAATGCATTGTTGAAATATGTAAAATGACAAGGCAAATAAAGAGCCACGGTTGAAATTTTAGCCTCAAGACAAGGCTCAACTTAAGGATATTGAATTGGAAAAATTTACCACTGATTTACTGAAAAATGTAAAAAGTAATACAAGAATTCACATATTTGGTAGTTTCTGTAAAAGCTCATACTCAGTCCTTTCCCTGTGGACTTAGAAGGAGGTAATGAAAAATCATATTTCTTCCAAAGCTAGAGCTAACACACCTGAATATATTGGTGTCTGAAAACATATTTTATCAAAATAATGAGCTCAAAGGTGAGGGTTTTTTAAAAAGTACACACACACACACACACACACACACACACACAGTGTGGTCCTCTTAATTTTCATTCCATTAAATGATGAAAAAAATCAATGTCTGATAGACGATTTTAAAAGGGCAGAATTAGAAAAGCTATTTGGAGAAGAGTATGTCAGAAAAAGAATAATTGGGATTTTTTAATAGGAAAAAGAAAGAATAATGATCCTGTAACAATTTTTTATATACAAACTACATATTTTTGTTATTGAAGTTAAAATGAAATTACATTGCTAACGCTAAAAGAATATGGCTCTTTTGGTTTCTATTAAAAAATGGTTAAAAACACAATCTCTCTCACTTGGAAAACAACACCTCACTCCCCATATTAACTATCAAGTCCACTTAGAGACTTAAAAATTTGATGCCAGCCTCAGTAGAGCCCTCATCAAACAATGCAGCAGAGAAATCTATCTTATGCTAACATACTGGATAAGCACAATTTGAAATGTGTCATTAAGGTAACTAACCCAACCAAACCCCCCTGGTTGCCACAATTGGATGTGAAATTATAGAACTCTTCAATGTCCCCTAACTGATTCGTGACTGAGAACTGAATTTGAGAAAACAGCTTTGAGATGAATCATGGCCATATTCTCCATGTGTGTACACCACACCAAACAGGCAGTAAATTTAAGTTCTTCAAAAACAATTCTCAGTGAAAAAAAAAAAATGAAATGTGTTTAGTTGGACTTTTCTCATGAGTTAAGTTTTACAGACACAGATTTTGAATTAATCAGTGCCCCCGTATGATTTATAGGTTAAGCAGTATAGTAGCTTTATAATGACACTAATAATAAATAACAGCAACAGCAGCATTTAACACTTAAAGAATGTGTATATTGTGATAGGCATGGCTTTAAGCCACACACACCCCCACACACACATACCTATACTTCACATATGCAAATGTACATATATATACACAAAGGTATAATATTTAATCCTCAAAGCATCATTGGAATTAGTAGATACTAGTACCTACTAATAGATACCATTTGTCAGAGAAGGAAATAGAGGCGCAAAGAGCTCGCATTGTTTATCCAGGGTCACAAAGTGGGAAGGCTGGTATTTAAATGTGGGCCATCTGCATGTAAAGCCTATGCTTCTTATTTGTCACTGTATTACAGTGCCCTTTGGTTGCGTCACCAGAGCATGCACATGTTGAGATATATTCATATGAAGTTTATGTGCAGCACAAGCATTTTAAACTTCTGTATTAGTTCCTTCAAAATGTGGTCAATACAGTGAAGAGGAATAACCACAATAGAAGTGATATTTTCAAGCTTCCATATAAAAATGTCTGGAGGCAGAGCTTATAATGGAAAAATATTGATTGTGAGTTTAAAAGGTGATGAACTTCAGGACCGATAAAAGCCAAATTTATATCCCTGAAGTTTCCCTCTCATATTTGCAAATTCCCCTTTCCACATTTGAAAAGCTCGTTTTCAGAAGTGATGACAGAAGTATTTCAGAGTCAGCCCTAATAACAGCTGTTAGTTCAGATTAGTGCAAGCAAGAATTTCTCTGTTTCTGCTGCACATCTGTTAGTGGTGTGTTTTTTTTGTGTGTGTGTTTTTTTAATCTGTGGATAGTGGGCTATAGAACAATATACAGGATTTTTCCTCCTTTTAAAATATTTTTCTGTTTTTCTTATTATTTTGCTTCATTTCCTGAAATTTTTATCTGTTAATGAATTATTACCACTTTACTTCAAGCAGATACCAAGGAGTAAATAAAAATATGATGCTTCCCTTAAGTCACACAAAGGTTTGTTTGAACTTAAAACTATCTTGGCTTTATTATTTTTATATATATAAAAATATTTTTCCCCCAATCATCATGCCCCTCTGAATTTCAGAATGCTTTATTATAGCTATTAATTGTAATATTAAGATAAACTATATGTGAGAGGTAGTTCTCTCTTTTTACTAGGACTTTTGTGTGTTTGGGGCAGAAAAATTTTATGATCCTTTCTTATTTATTATATTAGTAGTTTAAAAACAAAAACAGAAACAAAAGGAAGAACAAGATAATTGGCTGGCAAAGATGTAAGAGCTTTTTAGATTGCTTAATTTTGTCTTTGCCAAAGGGCTATTAGTAAACACTTTTAAGAAATTTGTATATATTCAGCTCCTTATTTACATTTCTCATGATCGAGACAAATGGAGCTTTATTTGGAGTTTTTACCAAAGAAAGTGACTTTGAGTATTATTGCCATCAGTCTCTTAATGTTTGATGCGGCTCGCTCCCTTAAGGATAGCCGTGGCCTTCATTCTACCATATACACGAGCTGCCTTGGGTCAGGTGGTCAATATGGAAATGAGGAATAACTACAATAGAGGTAATATTTTTAATGTTTCAGATTCAACAAAATCTGGAGGCAGAGTGGTAGTGGGAAAATATCGATTTGTGAATTGAAGCTCATCAGCACTGATAGTAGCCACCTTTACACCTCAAGAGCTTCCACAAAGTCTGGCTTCTGGCCAGTTCTGGCTCCATCCTACTCAGGCTTTAAAAGTCTCAAATGCCATTCCAGATGGCACTAGAGATTTCTACCACATCTAAGTCTTACCAATTGGGACTATAACTGTAGACTTTTATTTTTTCCAAGGCCTAAAATGAGAGGAAAGCCTATGAAACTTTCTGGGTTTCTCAATAATTATATCAATTTCCAGTTTGCTAGTAGTCTGACAACAATTTCCATTTTTAGAATGATAAAGGATAGAAAAGTAGATATTGACCAAGATATGTTTTTGTTGGGTCAAAAATATTTATGTTGGTCAGGACTCATCTTTCTGGACTTTATGACACTTTACATCAGCATTTTTGCATAGTGTGGTCCATTGACTACCAGTTTCAGAATCACTTGGCTTATCTGGCAAAAAACCAAATTAACTTACTGAATTAAGATCTTTGGGGAAGGCACTTGGGTGAATATATATTTAAAAACATCCTAGAAAGAATATTTTTCCTGCCCTAAAGTTATGTGTGTGTGTGTGTGTGTGTGTGTGTGATAAATCATAAATCACTTTAACATTTACAATGTCATCCGACTCTTACCAACCTTGTTAAATATAAGAACAGGTAACATCTCCTTTTCATAGATGGGGAAGCTGAGATCTAGAGAAGTTTGGATTCAAAGACAATAAGAGGTAGAATTTAGGCCTGTCTTCAGGGTTCCTAGTTCTCTTTATATGACTTCTCACCCATTCTTCTTCTACATGAGAGGTTGTTAGCTGCAGATATGTAGAGCTGCAGGGGCATCTTGCTACTCTCCAATACTTTATTCTATAGGGAATAGAGATACTTCAAAGACTTTCAAGTAGTAGAAGCATTTTTAATCAAATCTGTGTTCTAGCAGACAGCCTAGAAAGTGATTTGGAGAGAGGGGAAACCGAAGCTGGAAGGTGAATTGGGAGATGTATTCCTTCTACGATATCACCAATATAGCTTGGGTTACTCATGCCAAAAATCTCAAACTGGAAATGAAATATTTTTTTACAAAGGCATAATTGTGAAGTCCAGAAAATGGTTCTTTATGTTGCTTATTGAATTGCAATATTAATCACATGGCTCCTCTAATATGTTGTGAACTCTGGAAAATAGAACCATGTTTCATTCATTCATCTTCCTACCCCCAGAATCTAGTTTAGTGTTGGCTGTATGGTTTTATTAAACATATGTTGTTTGTTTGATAAACTTGAGTGAATCGTAGTAAAAAGTTGTTTTACACTGGCAATGTATATTACTGTTTACTTACATATCTCATATCTCATATATACCAACATATACCTTTAAGTATACTGACATACCTCATTCTATTGCATTTTGCTTTATTGTGCTTCACAGATGTTGTGTTTTCTACAATTTGAACGCAAGACCTTCCATCAGCAAAAAGATTGCAACTTGCTTTATTGAGATGTTTGCTTTATTGTGGTGGTCTGGAACCAAACCCACAGTATCTCTGAGTATGCCCATACTTACCCACCTGATTATTACAGCCACCCTATTATAATAACCCCTGTTTTAGATGAGAAGCACAGAATAGCTCAGTAACTCACCCGAGGTCAGTCACTTGTCCCAGCTCAAATCCTAGTGGAATTAGGCTTTGATTTAGGTAGCCAGGTTCCAAAGCCTTGCTATGCTACGCTATATACATAAATT